CTTCGTTACTTTATGAAATTACAGCCATTGCTTCGGAACTTCTTATTCTCTGTGGATACGGCACTGCTTGGCCAGGCCGTGACGGATTTTGTCCTAGTTAAATCTCATCAAAAGAAGATGTGCTACAGATCGCCATAGAATAAACCTTACAGACGAACGGAGATTTTGTTGGTCATATCAAGAGTAATATAAAATTTCACATTACCAACATAATTTATTGGGCCATTCTCTTCTGTCTGGTCAATAAAAATCATCATGACTGGAACAGGGAGTTTCGGACGTTTGATGAGTGCTAATAAGAAGTGGTTACGGAATGTTGTATATTATATGGAAGCAGAACAAAGCACAAGTCAGTTTTCAAACAGACACTGCAATGTCCTTCACTTCATTGGATTAAATGTGTCCTAATTATTAATTTGTCTTAATAAATATTTTTTTTCAGATGTATGTTGGATAATAATGAGTATATTCCAATGGATTACACCTCGTCCTACTACTTCTAAATAACTTATCCAGCATTTCCCGCTTACCATAAAATTCTTAGTTTGTGCAATATTTCAAAGCAGCCATGTAATACCTATAAATTATGCATAATAATGCTTACCCTTATTTAGAATAGGTTAATATATTTGAGCTTTAGCCGCGCTATGAAAACGAAATAGGAGAGGGTGAATATATTAATATGCTACAGTGTATATTCAAGAATATAGATTTATACTATACTTAACGCTAAGTAAATTTTATTATGTCGTAAATCATGTCGCGCAGCTAAATGTGCAACACATGGTTGCGAACATTTTTGAATAATTGGGGTCTAAACAAAAACTACGAAAACACAAGTTTTTTATTCGAAGAACAAATTGTTCATAGCTCATACTATGAGTTTGTATTGTTTCTGATTATAAGCAGATTACAGAAAAGATACGTGTGGTTTTGTTCTGTAAGACACTGGAGAAATTCGAATTCGCAATCATCGGATACTGGCGCTAATTGCATACCGGTTTCGAGCTTATTAGCTCTCATCAGTGCAATGTAAGCGCAATCACATCAATAGTGCCAGTGCCCAGTGATTGAGAATTCTGGTTTTTCCGTTGTCTTTTGGAGCAAAACCACACTTATTGTGTAATCTGGTCATGATCAGAAACAATACAAACTCATAGTAGGAGTTATTAACCGTAAGTGCTACGATTAAAACCAGTGTTTTCGTACATAATTTTTGTTTATATTCTGGCACTCAACACCGCCGATTTTTTGAAATTTCAAGAGTTTTAATTTGGGATTTTTTTATAAAGCAAAAATTCAACAATATAAAACCTACAAAAATATTCATCTTTGGGTTCCCATGGTCAATTTATTTTTGGCTCAAATAGGTTCAACCTGGTAATCTAGAGGTCCTAGGTTCAAATACTAGTCGAATTCGATTTTTCATTAACTTTTAATTATTATGTCTGCTATGCCATGAATGATTTCCCTCATAAATTTGTGTACATAAAGTATGGAATCCATTCAATATTCAATAAATGAGGCGTTTTCTGTAAAACCCGACGTCGATTTTGTCTGTTGTTTGAAATTTTTTCACACAACTTTTTCATATAGGGTGTTCCAAAAACAAACAGCTGTACCGGTATCACCTTTATTTTCTTAAATGGCATCCCCTACTGTATATTATAATATTTCTGGATTTTACGGTGGATTCTAAGACATATTTCAATTCATAGTTTTTACCTATCTTCAACTGTTTCGAAAATATTGACACTTGGAAATTGTTATTTTTCACGTTTGAACGGCAGAAGGATAGGATCTAAACAAATTGAAATAGAACAAAACGGTTGCACATTCCTTTCGATAAGCTATCAAATAACACTAACACATAACAAGTTTTATTTCAATTATCAAAAAAAAAAAAATTATAAACGCTAAAATTTTAAGGAAACATCATAATCATTGTGGCTAATATTTTGTTGTTTGCAGAGCAGATTTGCTTACTTATTTCCATAGAAATGCTATTTTTTTCGTTTAATAGGTATGCAACATTAGAATAGAAATGTTCTATTTGTATGTCATTTGTGAGTTTTTGTGTGACTTAATTTCAAGTAAAAGTATTTTAAAATGCGTATATCAAGAACGCAAAGAATCGAAATTCTTCATGATGATTAGAGATAGAGTGCGAACCCAAGATGTGTAGGTTTTATTCAACAACAATTATCCGGATAGAAGAATAAATCAATTTTTTAAAATTAAATAAGCCCAAAAAAGAAATGTACTACATTTTTAAAAGATTAAAATGTAGTGAAGGTTCAAAACTTGAGTATCACGTTTCTGTTGCAATGTTAGAAATAAATGAATAATAAAATGGAATAGGTTTACATAGCAGAAATGGTGGTGTATTAAAGATATAACTTTCAAATGCATTTTGAGATGCAATTTTCACTGAAAATATTCTAGACAACAGAACTCTGAACGTCATCGGAGTAAATATCGTTTTGAATATGTATTACAACTTCTCCCGCGCGTCATCAATATTCTAGCTATTGCTCCTACTAGTTTGATGTCTCAAAGTATCTTAAAATGATTACACTTTGCCATTTTGTGGGAAACATCCGAATGGCACTAAAATAAACGTATTTCGATCGATATATTTATTGGCTTACGCTAACAAGGTGGGTAAGAAGTAAGAAGCGCCTCAGCGTTGAGATCAAATTCGCTTCGAAATTTATTCATTTGTAGAGTAAACTACCTGCAACACTTTACTGTTTCCATGTTGCTACGGTAAATGGTATTATGTGAATAAAACTAGGTAGAAATGTAAATTTTCTTGAATCCGGCGTACTCGTTCGTTTTAACCTTTCCGATGCACTCAGCGCCAAATTAAAATTACAAATTCAAGGAAGGTAACAGAGATATTCGACAAGAACAATTTGTTAGGTATATTTTTTAAAATTCAAAATAGCTAATAATAGATTCTATTGATTTGTTCAATAAAATTGAGCTGTCGATAGTTATTCAATAACTTAATACTACCGTTGTATTTATTATCTAATAATAATATTCCATTGTGTGTCTTTGCACTCCAAAAACAGCGTCATTTTTCGTGTTGATTTAGATTATCGCCCCCAATATTCGTATAATGAGTCTGCCCTCTTCACCGGAATGGGATTTCAATCCTGGAGATAATCGTATAAACGCTTAAAGTGAGCTCCTCATGTTGTTTTCTTGCCCCATTTTTTCACCACATTCTCCTTCATTAGGTCATTTTTTATGTAGATGTAAAATGAATTTTCATTCCCTTCGATATATCCGAATGTTCCTTAGGTGCTGGTTTTGCTTTTCATACGAGAAATTCATCTCCTGGTAATGATTTTCTCATAACTTTCAAAATTTTAAAAAGAATATGAAACAATCTTCTTAAAAAAAGCGTATGAAGTCGGAACAATTGTAGAAAATCTACATCTCCTCACAGTATCTGAGGGAATTAGATGCACAAGTGCGTCGTCTGCACTTGAAAGCATAATTTCTGTTCTAGAATCAAGTGCTCCTTGTATATTCTTAAGAGAAAAAGTCGCCATATTTGCAAATCAAGCCCGAACAAAAATAAAACAACCGGAGCAGCAAAATGGTTACGGAGAAATTTTGATATTTTCTAGAACAACTTGAAATTTATTTATTTTATTGAATTGCACGCAATAACATAAATATTTATTTCAATCCTAAAAACAATGGGCAGTGTGAATAAGAAATAACAGCTGTATGCAACATCCTCTTTTAACTTAAAAGCGATTTTTAAAACTGGTACCTTTAAAAATTTGTATGGTTTAGAATATACATTTTTAAAAGTAACCAGTTTCAAAAAGCGCTTTTAAGTTAAAAGAGGATGTTGCATGCAGCTGTAAATGTTTACTTTAAAGCAGGCCTCACACAGCCAAAATGTCTTTTTGAATTCAGAAACGGAATTCAGAATTTTAATTCATAACGTAAGGAATTTTATATATTTTAATTATACAGCACACACATTCTGATTTTTTCAGAGTATAAATTTTTCATATCGATCTGCCAGAGTGACTCTGGCGAGGGTTTTGAATTCCGGATCTGAAACATTTAGATTATAATTCATAACGCATGTTTTTACACGTATTTCAAATATACAAGCTCACCCAGCGGGAATTCAGATTCTCATTCTTCCCTTCCAACCAACACCGCTCAAAAGATGCCGCAATACTAAGAGAATACTGGTCACAGAATTTTCAAGATATGTGTGCGGCAATGTGCCGGAATTCAGATCACAGTTCAGATCCTAAATTCTATTCCTGAATTCAGGACATTTCGGCTGTGTGAGGCCGACCTAAGAATTGAGTTTTAGCATAAAAACAATCTTATTAGAATCAGCTATAAATTTAAGGCCGGCCTCACACAGCCGGCTTTGTGAATTCCGAATTGGAATTCAGAATCTGAATTCATAACGTACGGAATTGTATACATTTTTATCATACAGCAGCCACATTCTGTTTTTTTTTCAGATCGATCTGCCAGAGTGACTCTGACTAGCGTTTTGAATTCCGGATCTGAAAAATTGAGTTTATATAATATTTATAGCGCATGCTTTCCCATATGTTTCAAGTATATAAGCTCACATAGCCGGAATTCAGATTCTGATTCTTCCCTTCCAACCAACACCGCTCAAAAGATGCCGCAAACTATGAGGATACTGGTCACGGAATTTTTAAGATATGTGTGCGACAATGTGCCGGAATTCAGGTCCTGAATTCTGTTCATGAATTCAGAAAAACATTCCAGCTGTTTGTGGCCGGCCTAAGTAACAGCAGTAAACACGTCTGTTGTTTTTATCCATTTTTTTAAACATCTTTATTTAAAAAAAAATTATCTGTGATTATCCATTGAAAATAATTCCAAAAAAACTTTGTAGAAAGCGGCCGTATTCAATATTTTTGTCAACAGACATTTCATCTCATTTAATTATTACAACCATTAGCTGACACACGTTCGTAAAATTGTTAAAAATGAATTACGAGTACGACAGTGAATCCCTTGACTCCGAAGTTGGTGAAGAACAGAGTGGCAATCTGCGCTTCATACTAGACGCTTTATCTAATCACAGAGTATTATTTGATAAATCGCAGTTGTCATTAATTAGAAAAAAGAAGGAAAATTCCTTAATTAAACTGCAGGAATCATACCAAACAATTTATGGCAAAAGTATTAATGTAAAACAATTTAAAAAAAAAAGTTTCAAAATATGAGAAACGAACAAAAACCCAACATTTCATAAAATTTCTGGAGCGGCGACAACGGGATTGAAACCATTTGGTAATGTTCTAGAAATGCGGAAACCAGGCATGTTTTTGTCAGACCTCCTCCTCCTCCTTATATTGCACCATCAAAACCCAAAAAAAAAAAATAAGCTGGAAGGGTAAGAAACAGAAAAGACAGCAAAATTAGCCACAGCAGATTTACAAAGATTAGTTCTTCTTGAGCCATTAAAACCTACACGCATGCAGATCGAGCGAGAAAAACTTTTATTGAACAAGCTACGCCAAATTCTACCCGAAACCCAAGGTCCCGGAAGCCAACATCCCGTAACTTCAACGTACAGTTTAGGTTTAGATAAAATACAATATTATAAATTATGAAACATGATATATATTTCAAGTTACACACCCTGTATATTTGTATTTGTTTCAACAGTTTCTTAACATTACAATTATAACAACTTATCTATATTGTCAACTACTTAAGTAAATACCACTCTGTACAACAATTAGTTACGATAAATTTATCATTTACGTAACATGTTCCATATTTTCTTATTTTCATTATAAAGTTGTATTTTTGCCATTTCAGTATAATACCAGTACTGCCATCTATCCATCATGTGCATAAAATGCAAATATCTATTATTAAATGAAGGTACTGCCATCTAGTACCTGATGGATTTATTTTTCAAAGTGTGATTTTAATTATTTCGCATTTGACAGTCATTTAATTGTATTTTCATTTAAAGAAATTATATTTATCTCACTTTTAGCAAATGGATATATTTCTGTCTTTCTCCAACTTCTGATTCTGAAATAATCATTTTTTGGCCGAATGACTAATTAATTAGCAGTTTTTTGTTTTTGACATAACCTTAATTTAAATTTTTATAATTTGTAAACAATTAAAATAATTCTAGTGAATTTCAATCTATTCTCTTTTATTCCACGTGGTTTTTCATTATGAAGTTATTGTAAAGTGAATATGGTCTTTTGGGTGTACTCTTCTGATTGGTTGAACTGGTTAAAACGCAGTTTAGTATAAAAAACACAGGATTTTTTTCCTGTGGGGTTTGGTTTCTAAAACGTTCTCTTTTCTTGGCAGTAGTCTAGCAGGCGAGTCATTTTTATTTTTAATAATTTTTGCTTTACATTTTTAGATTCTCGATTATAGATTTTTCAATAAATTTTACTATCAGTGCATATTATCATATCATTGTTAAGTTTTTACCTGATAAATCTTATCTTATCTATTCTTGAAATATAAATATTATATTTTAATTTTTTATCTAATTGTGGGCTTCCATTTTGTGTGAGTGCTGATTGGTTGTTACACGATTTTGTTTTCTGAGGTAAGTCAATTCAGATTTTTGGGCTAATAAATAGGTACTACTGCTCTGGTTTTCAGAATCAATTGTTGGTTATATTGGACCATTTGCTCTAAATAGAGTCGGTGAAAAACAAATTTGTGTGTCCATCCCTATCAACTCTTTATTGAATCCAGGCAGAGGCCTGTATAGCCATTTTCTGTTTGACTTCTTCAATTATTATCTTCTCGAAGAGAAGAGTGTTGAAAAAGGGTGTAATTTTCTATAATAGAAATCAGACAGGTGAAAAATTCATTTAAAAAAAGTTTTAATTAAAACATCTCAAGAATTTTGAAATATTCTGGATTTGATTGATTCCACCTTCAGGTTTATCTTGTAGCACCTATAGTAGCTACCTTAATTTAAAAGGAAAATTTTGTCTATTTGGGGGAGAATCTAAAGATTAGATTTCTTAATTTTTATCTGATTTTGTTCATATTCGTGCCTGTTATTGCAGCTGCCAGAAAAGCAGCATTTTGCTCAATTGTAACGAGCATTTTAAATTTAATCTTGCTATTATTATTTTAATTTTACTATTATCTTACCATTATTTTCAATTATTTAATGTTTTTTTTTTTTACATTAAAATATTTCGCCAATTTACAATAGTCGCTCATACTTACCTGATTCTGTGGGAAAGAAGTGTCTGCACAACAATTGTTTTATATTAAATTTCAATTTAAATTTTCTTTGCAAGACACGCTCTTTTTGACAGAATTCAGGGATTAAATATTCCAAATCTTGGTGAACCTGATACTGCCTCATTCTTTTCTGGGTACCTACTCGACATAAAGATCACTGTTTGGAGTCTGGATCAGCTGGAGTGACGCCATCCCAGCAATCTATCCTCTTTCCTGGATACAGGAAACAACACGAAGAGCTCCAGTTCACGAAAGTGAAACCTCAACCACCATTAAAGAGCTACGGATTGGAAAGGTACACTGTATCAGATTCACCGGAACAACCAAACTGTCAACTGTAACATTTTACAGAAAGTAACATTGACTGTTACTACATGTTACTACATAACATTGTAAACAAAATAAAATTATTGTTTGTTGGACTTTGAGTGGTTTCATTTGCACATGAAGGGGCTAGACGTTATCTTAATTTTTTTTTAATTCCACGACCCTGGGTTCTCTTATCTTAAAGTTCAAATAACCAATTAATTTGTAACAAATCTATTAAAGTGTGTCGACGAGTCAGCATTAATTTGGTATAAACACCGTGCCGAGATCCATTACCGGCAGACTAAGGCTAGTGCCAAGTACCTCAATTGGGAAAACCCCTCTAAGTCTTCTCCCAGTGCAAAATACCTTTATCGGGAAACGCCCTTCTGGAAGTATTGAATGCAGCAGACTAGGTCCAGTGCAACCACCTTTATTGGAAAACGCCCTTCTGGACCTGTCTCAAGCCCAGCTTCAGTCTTTAGTCACGCCAAGTGTACAGGGTGTATAGTCTACAGAGTGGCCTAAGTGGTACGGTAGTACGTCCCTCCGTAGAAGAGACGTCATGGTAATATTATTCTATTTTATCAATACATAATATCTTATTGTACCTATACCAAGCGAGTTTCTCTCTACCTGAACCCTACCTACGCCCCCAGGTCACGCTCCTGTTGTGACGTCCTAGGACGAAACGTATAGGGGTTGTGCCAATATAAATAAATGTTGCAGATGGTAAATTGATTTTTTTATTTCTTCTCTTCTTTGGAGTCCCCTTCTCCTTAGATTTTCATGTTCATTTTCTTAATTGTATTCCACTTCTTCTTCGTCATTCAAGGCATCTTCTTCTTCATCGACAGGAAGTGGATCATATTTCAAATACTTTGATATATTATGAAGTACGGCACAACTGTTAATAACAGATGCAACTCTGTCTAGCTTTACTCTAACCATGTAATACAAAATTAGAAACCTTCTCTTCAGTTGGCCAAAGCACCGATGATGACTGTTTCTTTCGTAAAGAGTGCGTTAAACGCAATTTTTTCACGAGTTTCGTGATTTCTGTTATGGCGTCAACCTGAATCACCTAATAACACTATATTATTATGCCGCATATTATTCATTTGGACATAAATTGCAGAATTTTTTAGTATTTTAAAGTGTCATGCACTGACCCAGGCCACTGAGCGTCTATGGAAGTTTTTGCATAGACTTTTGCATTAGATGTTGCCTGTACATTTATGCTGAAGTAACCTTTTCTGGTATAGTATTCGTCTCCATGCTCAGAAGGTTTCGGAATTCTTATATGTGTACAATCTATAGCACCAAATGCACAAGGAAACTGATACTTAGCACTCCACTCTTATTGTGCTTCATCAATGTTATTTATAGGAAAACGTATCCAAATATGTGATCTTTGAATTATTTCAGTCAATACAAATTTCACAGTTTTACTAACTGTTGTTCGATGAACGCCTTCATCCAATTTGAAATCCAGGATCGCTTAAAAATCGAAGAAATGTCTGCATTTTTTGTCTGGAATTTAATGCCCGTCCCCTTGTTTCTCGAGTTTCTTCAAGGAAATGTTTTGCTAACCACTCAACATTCATTCGAGCAAATCGATATAAATTATGGTAGTCCCGACACTCTGTTCGTTGACAATAATATTTTCGACGTCTAATGTTTAGAAATTGAGCTCATTTTTGAACGTGTTCGATTGAAGTTCTACACAAGACTAACTTTTAAGGTGCGTATTAGCAGGCTTAAAAAATTGTTAGTTATTACTAAAAAATTGTAGTTAATGTTCACATCTAAATAGGCTTTTTCTACAAAAAAAAAAAAAAAAATCAGAACATACCCAAAGCAAACAGATTAAACTTATAATTTTACGCTAGGACTACAGTTTAATTCACACTGCCTAATATACCAAAAACTTGCAACGCCTATAGTTTATGCAGGTTTATAGACTTAACTAGACTCGCTGTGCTATCTATCATTTGGGAATAGACTTCTGATGAATATTTGAATATCAATGTTGGTGAAGTTATTTATCTATGACCAACACATCTCCAGGATAATTGGGTATATTGGTGAAAAGTGACATCAAATAAATTAATTTCAGAATGAAATCAGTTGGCTGTTAATCGTTTCTAGTTGCTGCACAACATGGTCTAAACTTTTTATTTCATAAACATTCACTAGGAATATATTTTTTGAGATTGTTGTGTAGAAACTTTGACAAATGGCAAGCTGGGCATCTATGCATGAGAAAATAATTAATATGGTTGTAAATAACAGGGAATCGGTCAATCAATATGTAGTTTTAATAACTCTTTTCACAAATGCCTAGCTTTCGGAACTCTTTGTTCTTTCTTCAGGGCTATAATATAAAATTAATAAAAAATTAATATAAAATAAATAAAAAATTAAATAAAAATCATTATAATTCTTTTTTTAAAGATCACACCTTGCAGTGAGTTTATGCTCTGATCTTATTTTTTTCGTGATTTATCACTGATAAAATAATATGATTTTTTTTTTCAAAACTTCATATGTAGGTATAATAAATTTGTTTGCAAAAAAAATAAGATCAGAGCATAAACTCATTGCAAGGTATGGTATTTTTTTAAGAAAATTAAAATAATTTGTATTTAATTTCTTATATATTTTATATTCATTTTTTATTTATTTTATATATTTTTTAATATTATGGCCCTGTAGAAGGAACAAAGAGTTCCGAAAGCTAGGTATTTGTGAAAAAAGTCAATAAAACTACATATTGATTGACCGATTCCCTGTTATTTACAACCCTATTGATTATTAGCGGTCGTTATCCAGGAAAATAAAATAAATAATCTATGTACGGGTGATGTTCTTTGTGGATCATGCACAAAATATAATCTTGAGGCACATGGGTATCACGCAATTTGTTCAATGTAGTTCTTATTGTAACACAGCGTTCACAATGCCAGGTTTATTTTCAATGGATCCTTCAGGGT